GACATGGTCAGAAGATGATACACTGTGGTCATAAAGGGATGGACATGGTCAGAAGATGGTACACTGTGGTCATAAAGGGAACAATGATTATAAACTTTCACCTGTATATTATTTAAAAGAATAGAAGTGATTTTACCAGTTATAATAAGGACCAGATTGGATTTGTCAGACAAAGACAGACCCATGACATCATTAGGAAAACCTACACGTTACGAGACAGGTCCTCCAGCAGACTCACTGATGTTAGGTTTGGATGCAGAGAAAACATTTGAATCAATGAGGACTTTCCTATAAAAATGCTTTCAAAATTTAGCTTCCATACAACTATAATTGACAGATTTGCAACAAACAAACAGCTAGAGTTAAAATCAGTGGAGATTTAACAAATAAACTCATTCTGAGGAACAAGGGAAGCGGATCAAGGCAGGGTTTGTGTTGCTGCTCCTCTTWGCCTTGTTTACAGAAGCATGAGTCACCAGGTGTAGGCTGGATATTAAACAGGTAACAATGACCTCCAGGGTCAAACCTGGCCCTGTTTGATTTATTGATAAGTATAACACAACCCAGACAGACATTCCCAAAACTGATGAAACTGCTGGAAGAATTTGGTTTAATTTCTGGTTACAAAATTAATATCAATAAAACTCAAGTATTAAAATTTAACTTTGATCCCCATCTTGAATTAAGATAGATTACAGCTGGAATCAGGATGTTGAGTCCATCAAAACTTTGGATGTCTCGCTACCTAGAGACGTCTTAAGACTGTTTGACAGAAATTATGGCCCCTAAATCAAGATGAATTTTATTTTTTACTTTATATTTATTCATCCCAAAGGRGAAATTGATTTGTGGTMAAATTAGTACAGTCATATCTCAGGCATTGCTTTCCACGATCATTCATCTACAACACAAAATAAATCAGGAGTTCATATGAAACTGGACGTTCCTTCAACACACCACATGTCACATATTTACTGTAGGAACTTCACAGCTTGGAACTATTTGATCCATCTTTAGTAAAAGAGGCAGAGAACTCGCCCACATGGAGGGGTTTACAGCAGGGATTAAGGGGAYGGGTTTTGTCAACCCTAATTTTTGGGGTGGTGTGTCCATGATTCAGTTTACACTAAATAAAACTGATAACATGTTTCAGATATGGTTATCAAAAGGTTCAACTATTACTTGATAGTCCATAAAGGGGCAAAAATATATTTAATGTAAACACTCCATTACAAAATATATTTAATGTAAACACTCCATTACAAAGTGAATGTTTGTATTTGAACAACTTCCTGTTTGAAACCTGGACCAACAAAGACAAAAACTACTGGTAACCAGTAAGACGTCTGTCAGGAGGAAATGAACAGCAGGAGCTCCCACTGTYGATGAATGAATTGAAATTTATTTTATGGAAAACAGATCTTTTTTCCTCCAAGTTGAAAAAGGATAATCTGATCAGATCTGGACCAAATGGACCACAGTAAAACCAGTTGGATCTGATTTCTGTTGACTGGACTTGTGAACTATGGGACTGGGCCCTTTGTTGGTTTTATTACTGGAGTTGGTCTTGATCCCAGTTTYGTTTCATTCTGTTAAGTTTTGTTTTTGTACCATAAATACGGCAGTTTGGACCAAATCCCTTGAACTTTCTGCCTCCATCCTAATCTACAACCTTGAATGGTTCAAGCTGTAATGAATGAAACAGATGAAAACAGGTCTTTATAAATAAAAACACATAAAATCCCGTCAGAAAGCAGAAGGTTTGTGTTGTTTGTAATTCTGTCAGCTAAGGTTTAGTCAGTAGTTTGGCTCTGATGTCAGAACCTGCATTAAAGAAAAYGACAGAACAAACAGACAAACTGAGGTCAGATGAAAGGACAGATGTTCTGTCACATGTTTTTATTCTGGACACACAGCTGTTCTAAAGTCACCACAGAGAACAGACTGGACCTTCAGAACCGGTCCTTCCAGCACCATGAGGAAGATGTGCAAAAGTCTTTAGTTCTTCCAGCAAGCAGAGGGGCTTCAGAGAGGACCAGTTCTTCAGAAGGATGAGACCTCAGCCCCTCGACTGTCATTAGACCCCTGTGGGATTAGGATTAACATGTCATTATTTAACACCAAATACACACTCAGTGTCTATGTTCACACATGGCTAAATGAAATCTGTAACAGCTGTAATCTGTGGCSATTTCCTCAAAACATCTGGATCAAAAACATCTGCATTAGGAGATCTCATGTTTTTTRACCAGGATCATGTAATCCTTTAATCCTAATCCCAGTTCAAAGACATTTGAGTTAGAAGCATCTCATCCACATCCACCATTTTAAGATGAATTAATCTGGATACTGAGCCTGCACTGAAGGCTAAACCAGGACAAACCAGTAGAACTGCCAGCATGAGGTCACTGTTAATCCAGGTTTTTACAGAAACCTTCACAGAAAATACAAACAGTTTTTATTTTTTATGAGTTGTTTCTTCCATTTCTGCTGCACAGATGTTCTTTTCACAGCTTCATGCTTAAACTACAAACAGCCTTCTTCAAACAGTTGGCACTTAATGCTTCTGTAATCTGGGTTTAATCCTGTGTAATCTGGGTTTAATCCTGTGTAATCTGGGTTTAATCCTGTGTAATCTGGGTATAATCCTGTGTAATCTGGGTAGAATCCTGTGTAATCTGGGTTTAATCCTGTGTAATCTGGTATAATCCTGTGTAATCTGGGTATAATCCTGTGTAATCTGGGTTTAATCCTGTGTAATCTGGGTATAATCCTGTGTAATCTGGTTTAATGCTTGTGTAATCTGGGTTTAATCCTGTGTAATCTGGGTATAATCCTGTGTAATCTGGTTTAATGCTTGTGTAATCTGGGTTTAATCCTGTGTAATCTGTGTATAATCTGAAAACTCACAGGACTGGTTTGAAA